GATGGGGGGTGTGCCCCCGGAATGGGAGATATGCCCCTGGGATGTGCTCTCGGGGATGGGGGGTGCGCTCCCGGGATGGGAGATGTGCTCTCGGGGATGGGGGATGTGCCCCCCGGGATGGGACCGCGGGATGGGGGATGTGCCCCCGAGATGAGGCCCCCAGATTGGACCGGGGGATGAGCTCTGGGATCCCGGGATGAGCCCTGGGATCACAGGGATGGGTTCTGTGTCCCCGGGATAGGACCCCGAAATAAGCCCTGCCCTGTGTTCCCGGGATGGGACCTCGGTATGAGCCCTGGAACCTTGGGATGAGCCCTGAGATCCCAGGGTGAGACTCCAGCATGAGCCCTGGGATGCTCCTTGGGACCCCAGGATGAGACCCCAGGATCCCAGGATGGGTGTTGCATCCCCAGGATGGGACCCTGAGATCAGCCCTGCCCTGTGCTCCTGGGATGGGATTTTGGGATGAGCCCTGGGACCTTGGGATGCACCCCCACGGTGGGATCCTGGGATTCACTCTGGCACCCCAGGATGCACCTCCAGGGTGCACCCTGAGACCCCAGAAGGGAACCCCAGGATGCACCCTGGGACACTGGGATATCCCTCTGAGATGATCCCTGTATCCCTATGATGGGACCCCAGGATGAGCCCCTGGGATGTGCCCTGGACCCCTGGGATGGATCCTGCACCCTTGGGAAGTGCCCCAGGAGTGTTCCCTGTGCCCTTGGGATATGCCTCTGGGATAGCACCTCGTGCCCCCAGGTTATACCCCCTGGGATGCTGCCTCAGGATGTGCCTCCTGCCTCCACCTCGTGCCCTAGGACGCACCCTGGGATGTGCCCAGTGCCTGTGGGATGAGCTTTATGTTCCCAGCATGTGCCCCAGGATGCATGTTGTGATGCTCCTCAAGATGTGTCTTGCCCCCTCCCCCCAGAGTGACCCCCAGGATCCAGCTGGGCTTTGCTGTGCACCCCAGGATGTGTCCCAAACGCTGTGCCCAGTGCTTGTGCTCCCAGCTGGTGTCACCAGTTGCTTCCCCCGCTGGAGGTGGGACATGGGGTGATGCATCATTGGGTGGGGGTCTGCGGCTCCCTGGACTCCCCCCTGCCGGGTCCTGGGCTGGCTGGGGGCGCAGGCAGGGAGGGGGCACCCACCCACGA